AAGTGTGCCACCAGTATACGGTATAATTCAAATATTTTAAGTCCGCTAAAATAGTCACATTGATTTCGGCGGAGACCTTGGCGGTGATCTTATCAACCATTTTTTGTTTACATCGAAGTGCACTATCTGTTTTCATATAATCTGTGGCTTCACTGTTCACTAGCTTCGTGTCGATGGACTAGCAAAGTAGCAACGCTGGTTAATACACCTTCATCGGTCCATCTCATTTCTCCCATAGAGTTAGAAAAAAAGAACTAGAAGAAGAGAACCTAACACCATGACAAAAATAGATCTATTTTGTCATGTCTAACACCATTCACGACAGAAAACAGAATAGAATTTCACTTATTCTTTGCTATTACTCTACAGTAGTATAGTCCATCCTACGTCCCACAATGTCCATTATTATTGTTATTCGGTCTTTAACTTGTTATTGAATGTTCAATATTGAACAGATATACTTAAAATTTTTCTTCGAAAATCTTGATCACCAACTTGTAACAATAGCCACGTTCCGTACTCCAGCAACAGAAGCTGTCATCAACACAATATACATTTTCGTAGTTCGTTCATCGTATACTTTAATACTTACAAACTGCAATCATGGCGAAATACTGAAATAGACAAAAATATTTTTTTCAGAAGTTTATGTTTTTTTTTTATTGCCGAGCCAACCGTTGAAAATGGGTGAAGTTGATTATCAGTTTTCGGATATGATTTGTCTCTGTACTTCGCTCTTGCAAAAACTGCTTTAACTTAAATCTCTAACCACCATTTTTAACCAAACTGACAGTTGTTAAAGTCAAAATAGTAGTAAACATAACCCAACATTAGTATTTATTGCCCAAATATAACCTCTGACTTTAAATAAAGTATTAATAAATAATATTGTATTCCTATTTCCTGTCGATGATTTTTACAATATTTTAGTTGTATAAAATATGCATTACTACCCATACTCAATTTTTCTTGAATATGTCTGTTTTTAAGAATTGAATCTAAAAGTGTTCGAAAGACTTGTCGCTCTTTTTTACGTTGAATGTAACACTCAAATATTTACATATCATAATTTTTTATTCTGATATAATGATTATAATTTAATATTTACTTTTTAAGAAACATTTTCTTTGATTCGCCAAGAGGTATATTTTGTTACTCGCCCCTTCTCAGTAGGTAACTATGTAGCTTAGATTCCATGATTTAAAAGACACATTTAAATAATAATTGTAAAATTATCAAAAGTTCTAAACGTAATTTTGTTCTATTCAAATGTTAAATCCTTCTTATAAGTTATATGTTATAACTTACTAACTTAGGTATATTGATTGAAGTTACCAGTGAATTAGTATTCGTAAATTGTATAACAGTAGTTCATTTAGGCGGGTACCAAAAAAAGTAAATGTGTTACTTTTTTACATACATAAAACCTGAAGAAGTAAAGACGAAAGAAATTCGACTTGTTTCTCTCCCCGTTTGTTGTAACAGTCAAAAGTGCCTTTGTAGTAATACTTGAAGGTATAGAGACGTCTTGGGATATCGTTTTCCATATTTAATACCAATGAACCAATGTATTCAATTCACCGAGTTACGCATTTTGGGAAGTAATGAGTGTTAATTGTAATACATGCAAATATAGGCCAGACCACTGTGGCACTGTAGGAATTTTCTTGGCGGCTCATCGACCGTCGCCGATAGCAAGCGAGCCGAGACAAGTTGAAATAAACACAATTTTAAAACGATTTTCAATTTTCATCTATTAATATAAAACATGGCGTCATGGCATGCGGATTTGAAGTGAGACTAGATATTAGATTTTTAATTAAAATTTTGTATTAATGCGACGAGTTTTTTGGGGCCACACAAAAAATAATTGGCGGGCTGCAGCTTATTGAATATGGCCAGGAACGGCGCTAGGATTTGCGGGGCCCTGGGCAAAATAAATAACAGTCACATTACATATTATCCAAACTAACTAATCTCTGAACAGTATAAAATATCATTTAAGAACTGCGGGGCCTTGATTATAATTTTAAAATCGCGGCGGGGTCCGGGGCAATAGCCCCGATTGCCCCCCCTCGCGCCGTCCCTTAATATGGCTGATTTAACTCAACCAAATCTGTGTTGTTACTTTTAATATATTTAAATGCATTCGCCTGCTATGATTAAACTTTAAGTTAAGAACATTACCCGTGTCACTATGTTGGTTTTTTACGATGTTTAGATTGTTATGCTAACAATCTAACATTGTATATATGTATAAACATTTTAACATGCTCAAAATTTACATAAAAATTGAAATATCATAAAATAGTCGACGAATCGACTCAGATAATTTTTAACTTAAAGTTTGATAATAGATGAATCCACTGAATACACTCTAATATTAAAAGTAACAACATAATTTGCAAATGGGCCTGAGAGAGAAAACAAATGGATCTGACATAGTGACATCTCATCCTTATGCCCTTATGGACTTATTCAAAGTTTGGAAATATATAGACTGGTGGTTAACTACGTATACGTGGCACGGTGGTTGTGTTGTCTATAAACCGTGCGATTCATAACAGATATTTATTACTCACAAAATATTATTGTTTTTGAAAATATTTTGTTATCCTTATAATTTTTAGGTTTTTTTTTATTTTTTGAATCACAATATAGGTACACTTTTAATTTCAACCTCGATAGCCTATGGGCCAACCAAAATTGAATCAGCACCAATCGGGGGAAACGCAATTACTTATTTTACAAGTAGGGAATAGTGATATCATTGAATTTCCTTTGTGTAGGTAGCTATGGTCAAACCATCAGGCACATATTAGAAGAATGCACTGTTACAAAATTCACAGGAAGTATTGAGAAAATACATAGAGAGCGCAGATGCCATTAAATGGACGGAAAACTTAGGGGTGCACTTACGATCTAGCCCAGTGGTTCCCAACCCATGGGCCAGAGCAATGTGGTACTGGACTGCGGACACTGGCCAAGTATCTATGCTAGCGGTTCTTAACCGGTGTTCGGTGGACTTGGTAAAAGTGCTTCGCCAACATTTTAAAATCTGTGAAAAAAAAAATCCGAATCCGTAAAGTAAGTTTCATTGTTATAACATTCTTACTTTTATGGACTTCTATAGACAATAGACTATGATAGAAAAGTGTAAGACGTGTATGAATGAATATAATGTAACGACTTATTTAATAACAAAAATGGAAAATTTTTTAAACGAAAACGTAATTTTTGAGCTGATATGCAAGTAYGAAAATAAGAAATATCATTGATGATATTCTCTATAATTAAAAAAAAAATAAGAAAGATTAGTAGACGCATTATTTAAATTTTGGGTTCACTTATGTTGACGAAAATAACTGTCAAATTCAAATAGTTTCTATGCCAAGGGTTTGAACATTTTTATTGAAAACAACATCGAGATTTTAATATGATTTTATACACGTCTATACTTCTTCTATCGTCTTATTTTTGTGCGTGTTTATATTATATACCTGGAATCTATATATCGTAAGTGGGCCTCAATGGTTTTTTACATCATTGATGGTCTATAAAACTAAAAAGGTTGGGAACCGCTAATTCAAGGCTGTACAAAAAACAAAGAGTCATGAGTTACCAAACTTATTTTAATATAATTTCTAGTATTAGTTTTAATTTTACATTATTTCTTATATTAATTCTAGTTGCCTAATATTATTGTTGTTGTTTTAATAATTATTATTAATTTTTTTCCGGGGCCATTTGCTAATATATAAAAAGTTAAATGTATATTTTAAAAATGATGGTTAAAAAAATATTTTATTGTTTATCAATAGTCTATAATGTGATGAGTCAAAAATAAGACAAATAGTTTTACAGTAAATACATGAGCACAAAACATACAAAAATTTAACACATTTGAACAGTTGACTTACAGAAAATTAGTTTTAGAAAGTACAAGTGGCTCTTAAATTATAATATTCACTACTAATGAAAAAAATAAAACAAAATTTGTGGTGAAAAAACAATTGTATAAATCTGATAAGTACTGTTACATAGTAGTACTACATTACATTAATATAAGTACAAAAATTTGTTTAAAAATAATATTAATAAATGATCAATAAAAAAAGAATATAATTTAACAGTTTTATATTTTTAAGTATAAAAATTCAAAATAACTAAACAGATATAAATAGTGTAAAATCATATAATATAAAAGAAAAAACAGTTTTGGCATATTGAATCAGTCAGATCATTTTTAACATTTAATAATTATTAAATATCAAAATAAATGTTGTATACAAATAATAATATTTTTAGGTTACTACACTAATATTATTTATATAAATATATTGACTCGTTATATAAAAATATTATTTTATAATATTAAAAAATATATTTTTGTAATTGTTTTATAACTCGTCATGTTTTATGATGGCCTCTCCAAAATCAGTTGCTTGGGATCCTACGAACAAATCATATTTCGCTAATATTTCTTCTTTAGTTAATTTACCATCAGCATCTGAATCTGATTCATAAATAAGATGTCTACTCTCTGCTTCGGCATGATCAAAATTATCAGGTAATATCCAATCTTTGATCTAAAATTCAAAATTATTATTATAAATCATAAAAATTATGAGTTTAAATAAAATATATTCTTCCAGACCTCTCCAATGTCTAAAAATCCATCACCATCTTTATCTCTGTATGTTTTAAATTGTTCTATTTCACTTTTAATGAAATTTGGTTCTTCATTTGGCTCCACACCAGGAAACAAATCAGCTAGTATAGATAAAGAGTTAAGTTAATTATTAAAACAGCTTCCAAGTGCACTAATAATAAAATAAGTAACTTAGCAAGTAATTTGTTTATTAAGTATTTCCACAACTAGCATACACTTGACAAATTTGTCAAGTATATTCACTAATGGGGCTTATAAGTAGAGCGCGGATTTATATGCATTAAAAATCAATCGAATATGCGCTAAAAAATCTTAAATATGCATAAATATATGCACTAAAATGTTAAAATATGCATGGAAAATAAAATAATATGCATAAAAAAAATCATTTTTGGAACATTAAATTAATAAAATATATTATTTAAAAAAATTATGGAACAATACTAAAAACACTTTTCTATATTTTTCCACTTTCACTATTTTCAGGTAGCTTTAATCTATAATATATAAAAAAGGAATCAATTTATATCAAAAATGTCTCCTGAAATAAATATACTTACCTATATTTTGATATTTTGATATTAATCAAAACAATCAAAAGTATAAAAATATAATTATTTTTTTCTTATATTATAATTGAAAATAGTATAAATTTAAAAAATTTAAAAAATTTCCAAAAAAAACATCGAAATATGCACTAAAAGACGAAATATGCAATTAAAATTGTAAAATAAGCCCTTAAAATGGACAAATGACGAAATATGGAAAAATATGCACTAACAAAGTTTCATTTTTTAAATCGTTATGTCATGCAACAAATGTTGAGCTCACTTATCATATATCATATAGGTATCACATATCATACGATCAACCAGAATAAATATGCAAATGTATACAAATCCTCGCTCTACTTATAAGTTTACTATACATTTTTACATTATATAACCTTTAATTATACTGTAAAATTCATTAATACTAAAAAATTAATTTTTTTAAATCACCAATATATTCATCCATTGATATTTTGTTGTCTTTATCTTTATCCATATCATCTATAGTTTCATATACAACAATATCTTTCATATGAACACTTTCTTCAGGGTGCAAGAATGAAATAAACTCCTCTTTGGACAATAGTCCATCACCATCTACGTCAGCTGCTGCCCACCTTCTCTTATCTCTTAATATCATTTTTGCATATGTATAGGAATCATCTGATTTATGCGCTTCTTTTGCTTCGTCATCTAAAAAGACATATTTGTTCAGTCAAAATAGTGTGGGTAATTAAGTAAATGGATAAAAAAAATCACTGCCTAACCTAACCTTACCAGACATAAATCCATATGTATCCTTTCTGTATAGCGCCCATGATAATTTTCCATTTTCCAAGTTTTTATGGTTATCCCATTGGCTGTGCACGTCATTCATTATGTAACGAGTTTGAGTAAATTTAATCCAATCTTTAAGTTCCTCTTGAGTTACATATCCATCATTGTTTTTATCAATTTTATCAACTATTACACTACAAATCACAACCAAATAGGAGGTACATAAAATTGTAATGGCATAACTAAGACAAATTTACTTATTAAAAAATAAAATTTACCCAAGTCTCCTTTGACTTTCTTCTTGAGTTAAATTATCAAATTCTTCTGCTTCTTGTCCAAGAAAAGCTTCGTGGTCATAATCTGTATTGTGTTCTTCACCTCTAAAATGTTGCTGTTGGGCTTGTAACTTCATGTACAAAAAATAATATTAAACATCAAGAGTTAACGTGTTAATAAATAATTGTATCAAAAAAAATCTAACACAAATCCTACTTTTTCTAAAACCGGTTCTTTGGTGTTTGGTACTCCACATACATACATTGAACAAAGACAAAACGTTAGGACTATACACTTGAATAATAAAACCTGCGTTTGAAAGAAAAACAGAATTAATATTGTAAAGTTTTTTTGGGTATAAAATATTATTGTTAATAGGCAGTATATCAAAAATAATTATAAGATTTTTGAAAGTTAAAAGATTCTATTAACTTACCATGATTGATTTCTGTGTTTATGATGGAAAAGTGAATACTAATCTTGAAAATACTGACCACACAATTAAACTTAGTTCAATCTGCTCGATCGTCAATCGTTATGACACGTCATGTTTTTCGATGTACTGTTTTAATAATAATAAACTATAAAATGCGATAAATTAGTGCTCATTAATTTTGTTATAATCTAAAACTCTGTTTTGTTTAGCGGAAGCTGCGACTAAACTATTATAGAAGTACAGACAGATAAACGAATATAATGATAAATGATAATAATGATAGTAGGCCGGACATAGATAACAATACACATTTGAAGTTTGAATTTATATAAAATTTATTTCATGACAAATCAAATTGTAAAATACCTGAGGTAATGTATATTCAAATACGTATTTTGAATTCTTTTGAAGAAAAAAAAAAACAGACTGCAGTCGGTAATCTCTAGATCCTAAAACCGAAAATTATTTACAATATAATAACTCATAAAAGAGCGACTATTTAGTAAGCACAAATTAATCAACATTTAAAAGAATCAAACAAAAATAATCAATTACGATTAAATTTACGGTAAAAAATAAGAAATGGAGCACGTGTGCTCACAGGCAAATACATTTTTAWGAATCAAAAAACAAATTATCTCGTAAGTATATAATTATTAATGTACTTTATGTGTAAGAAGTATACAGAATTATACGTGTTACTAATAGCACATTTTATGTCGAAAAAAATTATAATGAGGAAATAAGGTAGAAAGTCAAAGTTACTTACCAAATACTATTATATAAATTATTATAGTAAACAGAATACGAATTAAATATGATAAGATGACCCAACTTTATTGTAATCGAAAATTTTTATTTTTTTTTTAAATACCTACTGGTTGTACACTAGCTTTAAAACCACGTCAAAAATTACTATAACAAGTCAGGTACTATGATTTCTCAGTAACTTTTAAACATTTTCTTTCGTTATTATGTTCACTATGTCAAATACATTGATAGTTTGTGGGAAAAGATCATTGCAAAAGTCACGACAAGTGATTATAGTTATTAGTTATTTATCATCATTTATCACCATAGCTTCAAATAACTATAGTCTATATAGCCTATAAGTTTAACTTTTATAATTTATTTAACCATCCGAGAGTCACGTGGGGAACGGGAGAAGGTAGTGGCGAAAGTGAGGGAATGGTTAAGCACTCAGGGTCGTCATTTAACGCGTTGCATGGTGAACTAATGGGACTATGGGACGCATGTAAATTCTACCGATTGCGACCTTTTTAGACCTTTTTTCATGTAAACTTCACGGGTACATTTATGTATTTTCATTTATGGCAACCTGAAAAAAAAATGTATTCCACTGATAGGTTTTTTACCTGAAATAAAAGTAACTGATTAATTAAGATTACATCATTTATGTAGGTACAGATTTATTATAATATATTTATTGTATTTAGATACAATTAAAAAAAAAA